GGGGGGGGGTGTACTCATAGTCGTGCATGCCGTAGTCGTTAGACCATTGACCTCGCATCCCTACAAAGCCGGGACGGAGCACGCCGGGCTCTCACCGGACCAGGCTCTCACATGACCAAATTCAAGCCTCGTTTTTATTTTAGGTGTGTTGTTGTTGTTGTTGTTGTTGTTTTTATGGAACCCCTATCGTTGCCGTGTGTACATCTGTCCAGATGAACGACGTCGACGCGCAGAGAGGACCGAGCGCTAAGAAGGGGATCAAGGAGAGGGCTCTGTCGCAGGTGACCACAAGACAAGAAACGAGTGTTGGGCTTTGTCCCCTCGTCCCGTGGTTGCTGTGTGCTTGTGCTCATAGCTTTGTTGTACTTTTACGGTGCTGTCTTGACGATGCGTGTGTGTTGTTTTTGCGATGCCGAAACGGGTGTCCCGGGCAACGGTTTGGTCGCACATGTAGCACGTAGTGAGGCCAAACACTGGTTGTTGTTGCGGTTGCCTGGTTCTTTAATTAGCATCGACCGCACTGACGGGCTTTTGTTGCTTCCGGGGCAACGCATAAGACGCGGCACGCGTTCAAGTCCACTGGCTGTGCATCTGTGTATTCTGCTGCGCCTGTGTTGGCGCTGTCCAGCTTGTTGCGGTACAGCTACCATGTTTTAGTATTTAGACACCCCGCCTGCGTTCATTTTTCGTGAGTATATGTACATACCGACATTTGCACGCCTCTGCTGTATGCCTCGTACGTTTGGTTCCAAAAGGTCTTGTCGCCCGGCAGCCCGAACTATCTCTATGAGGGCTGCCTGAGGACCGACGACATCAGCTTCAGAGAGTCGAAGCCGTACGTCGGGGTGATGAAGGACAGCTCCGGTTACCTCCTCTGCCAGGCGAGCTGCTGTCTCATCTGTCTCATTCATTCCTTGTGCTGTTGTGGTGCCCGTGTGGTCGATGGTCTAACGGCTAAGGCATGCGAAACATGAGCTTCCCCCCCCCCCCCCCCAAAATAACGTCAAGAGTTGCAGCCCAAAGACCGGATGCCTCCCTCCCCGGGCAGAATGGGTTTTTGGTTTGGTAGTCCTGTCGCTGAATCGGAGTCCTCAACGCTAACTAGTATCGACGACGTCTCGGGAAGGTCTGTGATTATTACGCCTTTGTTTGCGGCTCCGAAATGTGCGTCCCGTACGTTAGCTCTTGGCTGCAACCTTGCAGGCGCTTGGATACAATCTTGCGGCCGTGTCTACTGGCAAGTCCCAACAAGCTTTTTGTTTGACATTTTTCTTAGTAAAGCACAACTTGTTTGTGTGATTTGCCTTAGATTGGACGCCGCACTACTGGCTCCCGGCAGGTGTAAGCCGTGTTGAACCATAGTGCCAACACAACCACAGATCGTACTCGCCGTGTCGTACCTACCTTCCCATGGTTGTCTCATGCACCATGTTGTGCACCATCCATCCACAACCGTGGTGACCTCTTTCAGCGGTAGTGTTACTAGGTGACAAGTCAGCGTGGATTCCATCGAAAAGTGTTCGTCATGCCCTTAGGATTCATTTTATTTGAGTATACACATTTTCTAAAATAGCGTAAATTAGCCTGTGGCCACGGGAATCGATCGCGTCAAGTGGTAGACTAGTACGGACAGAAGGAGGTACTGGACACAGAGATCGGAAGGGTTTAAGTTGTGAAGACAACAACAACAGTAAGTATGAGCCCCTTGCTGTCACGAATCGGATTGTTTTGATCTAGATCTACCCAGACGAGAGGGAGGTGCAAGTGTCGGAGAGAATGACGGCAGAGGCGGTGAGGGTCGCCATCGAGGAGGCCGGCGTCGCCGAGCCGGTGTTCGATCAGGTAGGTGCACTGCCGTGGACACGACTGCCTCATGCGTCTGTTGTCCGCTTGCCTAGTCTCTGCTGACAGATAAATGTCCTCCTTATGTCTGGGTTAACCATTCCCAAGCATCAATTCAGTAGAAGTATTTGCGGGAAATCTACGTGTGTGGGGTGTGGGTGTGCTCAATTGGTTTAGATAGCAGTAGCATCGACTGCACGAACCGGCTAGCCAATGGAGAGCGTTGTGTGGGTGTTTTTTTTGTTCCGTTTTCCCCTGCTTCCCCTGCTTTTCCCCGGGTTACCCTCAAGACGTTGTTCTGTATTGTCAATTGCGGTTGTACGTAGCAAAGACAAGACCTTAGGGCCAAGCGTTAGGTGTAGCCTTTAAAGTTATTCTTCCATCGTTGTTGATCCCTTTAATCTCTTGGGCAGAACAATCTCGCAAATGTTAGTTGTGTTCGATGCGCTTGCTGTCTTTTGTCATGTTTTGTTATGTTACACTGGGTTTATTGTGAACGGAAGAATTCGGAACATCTCCCAGATCTACGTATGTACTTGGGGTTCTTGTTGCCCCCCCCTCAATTATATCTTAGTACTGCTGTGCTGTTCGCCGACCCCCTATCTATGCATGCCATGTCAGGGCACGGGTCTGGCATTCCTGCCGGACCACACGGAGCCATTAACCGGGTTCCCATCATCGGCGTTTCCGGGACAGGTGTGACCAGTTTGACCAATCACCGACAACGCACGAACAGACAAGACAATCGGGGTGCTTTAGGCTGTGCCGAGGGCGTACATTCTGTAGATTAGCTTGAATTAATTCATCGGGTGCCCATCTAGCTCAGTCTCTGACAAGAACAAGACCTCCACACATCCCTCTTGCCTGTGTGCGGACTTTGTACTACAATGTACCACAGAGAAAAACGTGTGTTGTTAGCTGGGACGGCGATATTTTAGATTTAACTGGGACGACCGCAGAGAGATGTGTGCGGTTGTTTCCGGACGACGTTTTTCGTTTCCTGCATTTGTGATATTCTGTCTCAGTTTTTTCTGTCTCTCCTCTTTTTCTTCCAAATACTCTTACGTAATATGAGCAGATTCTTGCACGCGTGGCTCGGCTGCTGGAACTCGCGGAGTCGGACCTGATGCACTTCCGCACGGTCACTCGATCCCCGGAGGGGCGTCCCCGCCCTGTCTACCCGTCTACCGCCCTGCAGGTACTAGGTGATCCGTGCGACTGGCATGGAGCAACATGTTTGTGCCTAATATAGCAAGAGTGCAGTGTTTTCGACGCGTGCTGCTGCTGTGTTTGTTTTGAGCCTATTCATGCACGTATGCTGTATGTATCATTCACTTTTTTTTTTTCGGTGGCTTGCTGTTTCGTGTGAGTCAGCTTTTTGGTGTGACAGCAGTGTAAGTTGGTGTACTTGTCCCTGTGACCCCCCGTTTCCGTGTTGGAAACATCACACAACAAGAAGAACAAGAACAAGGTCAGCTCTTGGCTGTGACAGCGGTGGAAGTTTGCAGCTCTTGGCTGTGACAGCGGTGGAAGTTTGCGCCCTTGACCCTGTGACCCCCCGTTTCCGTTGGCAACCTCACGACGTAAATAACAAGAAGGTCAGTTCTTTGCTGTAACCACCAAGAACTCGCGCCCTTGTCTGTGTGTGTCTCTCCGTTTTCCGTTGGAAACATTACACAACAACAACAACAACAACAACAACAACAACAACAACAACAACGACGACGACGACGACAGATTGGCCTCCTCAAGAACAAGAACGTGCCAGACCTCGTCCCGTGCCTGCTCCCCGCCGGCTACCCGGCCGCCTGCCACCGCTTCCTGCGGAAGTGGCTCCTGCTGCCCCCGTCCTACCGCCTCGCCGACAGCGCGCACAACCTCTGCAAGCAGCTCGCATCGCCTGAGCAGGTGGGTGTGAGAGGATTAGGGGGGTTAGGGGGATTAGGAGGATTAGGGGGATTAGGAGGATTAGGAGGATTAGGGGGATTAGGGGGATTGGGAGGATTAGGGGGATTAGGGGGATTAAGGGGATTAGGGGGATTAGGGGGAATAGG